GAACACGGAAGCACTTTGCAATTCCAGGTGAGCACCAGGCACGGACTCGGCTCCGGGAGCTCTGCTCGCTGCCGTGTGCGGTGCCCTCGCATTAACCTGCCCTGTTTAATATCCATACATGATTTAGGATTAGTCCTGGCTTCGAACAGGGAGGCTCGTGCTGTAACATGATCTGAAATGGCGCAGGGTAATAGGCTGGAGCAATAGCAATAAAGGAATAATATTTTCTTCATACAATGGTCAGGAAAGCCAAGTTGGGAGGACCTGAAGGCTCAGTGATCACCACAGAGGCGGCAGCCCTGCGAGCAGGATTACCAGGAGCTGCAGCAGGAATTATTTGATACGCACCCAACTTTTATCTCCTAGCACGGGGTGACTTTCCACCTTACACCCAAAATTGCTACCAGACAACAGGCTGCAAACCCCAAATGCAGGGAAAGCCCCTTCTCCCTGCCCAGTTCCACCCTGACACTCACCTGGTGGCATTGCACAGGTCAGAGCCGCAGCTCGGAGCACAGGAGGGGCTCTGCAGGAATCATCAGCAATGAAGAGTGAGTTTGGGACCCTAGGACCTTCCTTTATCCATTTCCATCAACTTTGGACCATGGACCATCCCTCCGAACAGCACCTGGCTCCTACACCTGGTAATGTTCATGCACAGCAGACCTGAGGGAGGAAAGTCTTTGTGTGTGCAAAACCCAGCTATAACAGTTAATGCACCCATATTTGCAGCCCTGATATATTTGCTTTCCAGGAACATTTGTGCTTCATTATTTCCAATAAGCATGGAGATTAGCTTTTGGCTTCCACAACCCACAAAAAGCAGCAAAAATCCCTCTCCCTCGGAGCAAACCTCACCAAAAGCCTGCTGGAGTTAGTGAGGGATTTGCATTGGCTTGAGTGAGTTTTAAAGGGGGCCTGGCTGTCTTCTGCAATTATGGCACCCTTTTGGAAGGGCATCTCCAAATGTGCGGGTTGGAACTGCTCCGTTTGCTCCAAGCTGCACGTGTGACCAAACGGAGCAGATTTCCACCAGGAATTATGGTGCTCACCAGCGCACGGTCTGAATGCTGCTCCAGAGGATTGCTGGGCATGGTAAAAGTTCATGCTCCGTTTCAAATAATTGCATTTGAGGAGAATACAGGCGCTTTGCAAAAGCCTTGTGGAACTTGCTAGCAAAATGTGCTGCAATTGCTCAGCCAAGGACTCTGGAGAAAAAGGCAAATTGAGGCTTGGGCGTTACTGGAAAAGTTGCTTCTCCTTCTGCCCTTTCTTTAGCCATTGCCTTTCTTTAAGAGTTCGCAAGAACTTTGAGGTCAAGGAGTCTGGAAAAGCAGCATCTATTCCACAGGGACTTTTCCCATATTCTAGAGAAATAACAGCAGACAAAGGCAATAATATTCATCCCTGGAACCAGAATCCCAGTTAAAAATCTAGCTAGGTGTGAGACAAAGAAGTGGCTGGGAGGTTTCCCCAGGAACCTGGATTTGATTTCATTCCAGCTGGCTTCTCCATGGCCTTTCGAACTCCGCTCTCATGGAATCGGAACTCAGAGCAAGAATTCAGCCCAAATGCCATATTTTGCCAAGTCTAAAAAAAAAAAATGTCATAGGAAGCCACTGAACTTTACAGCTTCCACCTGAATCAGTTACTGTGGAACAGCCCGCAGGGTCCTCCCGAGAGCAGGGCAGGTATTTTCCAGAGCTGGCCAGGACAGCGTTTGCTTTTTATTTTATTTTATTTTTTTAATTTATCCTGACAACCTCTGATGAAACCCAAGTTTCCTCACTGTGCGTTTCACTTCCAACAACCCTGCTTTTTTCTAACTGAAACAACCAGGGTCTGTGTTTTCGGTGGCGGTGAGCTGAAAAATTCCAGCTGAACACTAATGTTTTCTGAGCCTCAGTAGCCAAAAGATTAGGAAATAATCCCTTTTTCTGCCAAAACTCCCAGAGAATCTCCTCTGCCCACGCTAGTGATGAGCAAACACACGCACCTCCTCTAAAATAGAGACCTTTTCATGCAAGCGTCTGCATCAACAGCATCGGTTTCCTCCCAGACATTAAATAAAGTGATTTCAGCCCAGGCTGTGGCTCTTTCCTAACAGGATTCTATGGTGTAGAGAAGAGGACACCCAGCCCAGCCGAGCTCAGGGATGTCCCATCACGATACCCCGGGAGCATCCAGGAAAACATTTATTCTCTCCAAACCCCCTGTTGCAGGATGCTCCAAATCACCCAAGTTTTCTTGAATGAAAGCAAGGCTTTGACATGCCTGCATGGCTCAGGTACACTCCCATCTGCACTGGAAAACAAGAGTGAAAAAAAATCCACTATTTCTTCTTTATTCCAGGCAAGAAGGGGAGCCCGGAGCCACACGGACGAGCTCCAGTGATGGAATCCGCACTTTGGCCCCTCTCACCCACCCAGGACCGGCTTCCTGGCAGGATTAGGAACCGTTTTCTGCATTCCCAAAATGCCCCCATCTCTGCTGGAAAAGCCCATCTTCCTGGGAAACAGAGGCCCCGCTCGGCTATTCCACAGGTTTCCTTTCACTGCCTCATGTAACATTTTCCTCTTTTTTTCTTTTTTAATCATTTCTCAGGACTCTTTTATGACAGTTTAACCCCTGTCAGCTAAAAGCTCAGCTCTCCTTCAACCTCCTGCCTTTTATTTCCAACGAGAATGCTATTAAACCTGATGGCAGCATCATTTCAAGTGACTCTGTCCCAGAGCCAGACTCCACTGCACACACAGACAGCCCCAAATTCCCAAGAACCAGCAGCAAAACAGGCAAGATCAACTAGCCTGACAACAGGAATCCTCATGGCTATTAAAACAAGAAATATTCATGCTGGGCTTTAGGGCTATGCAAATAGACCACTAAGAGCTTTATCTAGGGAAAAAATTCCCTAAAGGCCATGTGGGAGAGGAGGAAGCGTACAGGAAGCGGTGAGGCCGGGGTTATCTGCACGGATGGAGAAAAACCCTGAACTCGGTGTGTCCGTCCCACCACGATGGGGAATTTGCTGGATTTCCAAGGCATGGAGACGGACATGGACAGACAAGCGGGTCATTTAGACCCGGGAGACACTTCTCCCTCTCTGAAAAGATCCGCAAGACACAGCGAAGCTTAGGAAAGCAATAAAGAGAAAGCCCATCTGCTCGGCGCCCTTCTGATTCACAACATTAAATAAAATGCCAGAAACTGATCTTTTTCCCGCCCACCCCCTCCCCCTTTTAAACAGCCAGTAGGTCCTTCATACTTTCCCAGTTACATCATCCAACATGGTTTGAATCTACAGTGACTGGTAAAGCCTCAAAGGCATAATTGCAGTTGTCTTAGGAAAGTGAAATCATATGGTGTTCCCAAGATCCCCTCCCCCGGCCTTTTTCCCTTTCTTTTCTTTCCTTTACTTTCCTTTTTCTCTCTTCTTTTCCTTTTCTCTGCCCTCCTAGCACTTCTCACTCAGCTTCCAGATGTTTCCTGAGGGAAAAAAAAAAAAAAAGGAAAAAGGGAAAAAGAGCAAGAAGATCCTAAGAGCAGGGTGGAGAGGAGCGGAACGGGCCACGTGGCAGCCGGAGCTCCCAGGGCAGGGGAGGAGAGAGGCGAAAGCCGGAACCGCCGCCTGGATCAGCCTCCGGCAGCGCCTCCTGTCCCCGCGCAGAGCCACCCGACCCTGCACCGGCCACCCTTGCCCCATCCCACCTCATTCCCCCCAGTCCCGGACCAGCTGGGAGGTGGTCCAGCCTCTCCGTCACCTCCATCCAGGCCACCGCGGTCCCCAAGGAGGAGCGTCCCTGCAGTAGGTTTCATCCTGGACAAGGAGAAGGGTCCTGGATAGAGGGTTGGAAGCCCAGAGGTGCCCTGGAGTCACTGCTTGCCGTGGGCTTCAGCAAGGGATGCTGAGCATCAACACAGGGCCTGGCATGGCCGGTCTTCACCCCCCAGGAAATCCCATAGGTATATAGGACTTCTTGCAGCATTATAACCCAGACCACCTTCTTCATTCACTCATACCCCCCATATCAAGGTTTTGGGCCCCTATAGAGCCTTCGCCAGACTATTCCTGGACTCTGAACACTTTTCAATTAACCAGTACTTCCATGGGTTGCCAATATACTCGTGGAGGCCCATCCATAGACCTTAGGCTTGGCAGGAGAGGTTGTAGCTGGAGAACCTCACATGAGACTCGAGCACAGGAGGCCTCCAACCTCCACTCATCCTCACGTGGGATAGATGGTGAAAAAAACATTTATATCTGCATCCGAATGGGCTGTCGAATGCACGGCCTGGCATGCTGCCCCAAAATTGCTCCCCTATCACTGCAAACAGCCTTAGTGCAATCAGAAACATTTCCCCTGGCACTTAGGCGAGCCCAGCCTGGGCATGGTTTCAATTAAGGCTGTAATTTGCTGAGCTGGCACGGAGGAGGGCAGCGCAAGCTCCCCAGGAGGTGCCTGCAACCCGGCCTCCTCTCTCGCCACCTCCCTCTGCACCGAGAAGGGGTCACAGCCCGCTGGAAATGCCTCCTTCTCCCTGCACTAACCCTGCCGGGATGGGATGAGCCTGCCAGGTGCACTAGGGGCCATGCAGAAAGCTGGGAAAAGCTGCAATGCCAGGGGATTGGGATGAACTGCATCCTTTGGGGTATGTGTTGTAACCGAACAGATCCGTCTCGTTTTCCCTCCCAGGGAAGAAATCCCACTCGGCAGTGTTCCCTGCAGCTTCCAAGGGGCTGTAAGGAAACGAGGGCGGCCACATCTCCAGGAACAACCTTTCCCCCTGCTCCGATGCACCCCACAGAGTCATAAGCACCATTGGCTTGCAGCACACAGAGGGTGGGAGCTCCAGAGGGATGCCACAACGATGCCACTTGGCCATTTGGCCAGCCCCAGTTGAGAGGGAGCAAGATGGATACAGTTTACCAGAAGCATTTCTTAGGAACTAGAGAACTTAGTTCTCAAACTAGTAGCTTGAGAGGATGGGAAGGGATGCAGCCAGCCAAGTGGTGTTGGGAGTCTGGGTCAAATTCATCTCTGAATCAACTTAAAGACCTCAAAATTAAGTCATATCCAGTGTCTTTCATAGCATCAAACTCCTTACAGTGAGGGGGTGGTTTCCAGTCTCCTGCGGAGGAGTATAAATGTAGTCCATCCAAACCCTTTCCAGATGTTCTGCCCTTGCTGGAAGGAGGGAGGGACCCTGGCTGCAACCCCTTGAGGCTATTTCTGAGTTGCTTTAGAAATGACAGAGCCCGTGCAGTGTATCCTGTCTCCCTCCTCTGAGCAGGCTTGTTTAGCCAAAGGGTTTTTTTTTTTTTTTTTTAATTCTGTAAGATTCACTCCAGGGAAGGGAGACAGGCACAGAAAGGGTTAAATGAAATCCACGTGGGAGCACATCTCATTTGAACAGCACCCAACATTGGGGTGTCCTGCACTTCATCCTAAAGCCAAGGTGTTTGAAAGGCCTCCTCTACCCTCAACACAGTTTACCATTCCCAGCAGAGTGGAAATCTAGCTCCACCCAAGACAAGAATGAGACCTGGCTGGAGGATCTGGAGTATGGACAGGAAATTTGGCCTCTAGAATATTACCCTGAGATTCTAGATAATCTTTAGTTTTGCTTCTCATTTTAGGCCAACCAGATGTTACTATCATAGGTCACTGCCCACCTCCACACCAATAACTGTGGGCATCACTTTCCACATACAATAGAGCCTCTATGTTCTGTTCTTCCTCAGAGAATTCAGTATATAGGGATTGAACTCCAGGCAGGGCATTGCAGTGCACACAGCATGCGGAAATTGCCAGCACAGCAGCCCAGGAGTTTCATGGTAGGGGGAAAATGTCAGAAAGAGAAAGAAAGAATAAGTAAATAAAAGAATATATTCAGCTCTGGGAGCAGGAGAGTCGCAAAGGCAGCATTAGCGAAGTACTGGCTCTTGCACAACCCTCCCTACACTTCATTTTGACTTGGCGGGGTGGGTGGCAGCAGTTTCACACATGTCCCTTTCCTCCTTTTGCTCCACGTGGGCTTTCACCCCCACAGACACGCCTGTGCGCTCAGGCGCTTCCCGGCTGCCGATCCCCCAGGGACGGGGACCAGGGAGGGAAAGGAGAAAGGAAAAGAGTCACTTGGATCCCTCTGGTGACCCCAGGGCGAGGGGACAGGGAGGGAGGGATGCGGCGGG